TCCTATATTCCTCTATTTACTTTATTTATTCCGTAGCTGTTTCTTCTCGGCCGGGAAAGAGAGCGCGTCCGTAGTTGAGGACGGAGGGAGGGAGAGAGAGAGAGAGGGATGTAGAAGGGGGAGGGCGGAGGAGGGGAGTGAACTGCAAGGATCTCTTGCTTTTCTTCAGGACGCTTCATCCTACGGACGGACGTGTAGAATGACGAGCCAGGGCTGTAAGCTACCAACGTTTTATTGGACGAGCCTGATACGCGTCGATAATGAAATCACCGGAGATGCTTTCAGGATTATCGATGCAGAAATTGAGATCGGTCGGCGCGGGATATGCCGATGCTGCCGCAGATCTTGCTCCCGAATGTAGCACCGGGGATCGAAGCGGTTGAGGATACTTTGTCCTTTTGGCGGTTGGTTCGCTGGAACGGTGAATAAAAAATTGATGTGTATTTTGGACAGGTTTCGACTTGAGCTTGTTATCATTTTTTTTTGTTAGCGTTATTCGTTTGTTTGGTACCTTTCTTTTTAATTTGAGAGAAGTAGGATATTGGAGTGAAATGGAAATGTAGTTTTAATTGAATTCAATGGCATTCGTGCGCGTCACTAATTTTTGTTTTTACTTATCATTATTGTATTATTATGTTTTATTATTATATTATACTGCATGTTTTCTTGTTTGAGAAGTCAATAAGGCAACATATAATCATTTGATAAAGTTACATAAAGGAGCACGTTTTACTGTATTTAATATTAGGTGATATTCAGATAAGTAGATTTGTACTACCATATAACTAAATATATATGAGAAATAATAAATTCAACATTTTAAAGATGATCTATAATCTTTATATTTTATTTGTTAATTAAGAGGACTTTTAGTAGAGAAATCAACCGACTCGATTGTACGAAGATAAGAACTTGTATCAATAACAATAGAACACTACTATTATAAAATATAACATTACTAATGTTAATATCGTGAAAAAGCTTAAAGCATGCAGTAACATTAAAAAATTTGTTTATTTACGAAATTGTACTAGTTTTTTGCAAAGGCCCGTTAAAGTGTCATCCGAACGTCATCACGACCCAAAAGAAACATCTTTGAGGTACAAATGAGATATCTTGATATCACGTTTAAAAATATCTCCTCAATTTCTATTTGCTCGTGCATTATTCATGAATGAGAAAATCTATTTGAAAAAAAGAAGGAAGCCGAGGACCGAAAACCTCGTGACGTCTCGGACTCGACGTGTTTTCTAGAGATCCGAGCTTTTCCAATGTTACGTTCGCGAATAAGGAAATCGTGTCGAGTAAACAAATATTTCTTGTAACAAACTGGATATTACGAGCCTTGCGCTGGCTTTATTGGCAGATTAATGGTACTACCGACTCAGATTCGCTTTCACCGTCGTCCGCCCACCCCGGCCCCTTTTTGCTTTTATGGTCGGTTGCGCATAAATATGACACACGACTTATTTTTTTTCCTTATTTTTTTCGATTTCCTTATGATTCTATAAAAAATATTTATCATGAGAATTATGCTACATTCCCGAGCACCGATCGTCCCCCATCTTTGTGTATTTATTTCCACAATGGCTCGTGTATAGTTAGATCGGGATCGAACAGTTTCCATCAAACGAAACGTTTCGCCCAGTGGCAGAGTTGAATCATTTTTGGATTTATGAGAAACATTTATCTGGGCGTAGAAAAATTAATTTCTCTGCTATATATTTATGTTGATATTAAACTTTATTTAATAATAGATTTCTTTTCATGTGGCAGTGTTAGTTAATAATATTTATTTTTATATTATAGTAAGTAAATTTCTCTAACATATACATATGTTCATACGTTAAACTTTATTTGATAATGGATTTGTTTTCATGTGACAATATTAGTTAATACTCATCGATTAATAGATATAACTGATTATAGATTGTAATTATCAATATACATAATAATTATGTTACTGATTTGTTATTTCTTTACTTATTGTGCGTATTGATCAAATAAGATGCGTCTCTGTAAAAGAATCCATAAATTCTTAAAACTTACTTTGAAACTATAGAAATTAAAATATCTTATTATACAACAGTTTATTAAATACATTGATAATAAATATAACAGTAAAAAATTGCAGCTATACAAATTTAAATTCTGCATTTGTATACAGATCTGTGATATAATATTAATATTATCAAAAATTTATGATTTTGTATGAAATCCAGTAACACGTATTAAAATATCGAATAAGATATAGAAAATAACGATTCCACTTGTATACTGATTTATTTTGAAAATCCTAAAATTTGAAATACAATTTTCGATCATTTCTTCGTTTGTTTGTAAGCAACAAATACGTCTGCAATGATGTCATCGGTTGTAAACTTGGTAAAGGCATCGATAATTTTTGGTATTCGCGCTGCTGCGCTATTTACAATGTCTGTGCAGTGATTTACGATATTCAGACGCACCATTCGTGAATCACCAACGCGGAAAACAAATAAACAATGAGGCAAGAGGAGAATTTTCGGTTCGTATATAATTTTAT